TTATTAAGAATCATGAAGTATATATAAAGCACTAGAGGGAAATAATAAGGCATTGCCAGTGTTTTATGTCAGTCTACAATCTTCAAATACTTGCAGTACAAATACCAATAATAAATCACTTCCAATCTACTTCTAACACAAGTGTCTACTTTAAAAACTTCTTAGAACAAAAGAAGAGCAAATCCAGAATAGTAAACTTCAAACCACTACTATACAAACACAATCTTAAAACTGATTTTAAAACAAACAAACAAACAAACAATGTTGTACAAGGTCAGAGCCTCTTTTAGTGAGAAATATATTATAATATATATGGAAATGTATTATAGTATACAAAATTAAGACTGTCACTAAAAATCGACTTGAATGGCTTCTGAAACTAAACAGAAGCATCACTGTATGGGAGAAAGAATGTGAACTCATGGAAGGTTTTGAATTAAAAGTCAAAATGTTCTACATGATTATAGAGTCTTTCATCTGAGGCTCTCAAAGAACTTTAATTCAGCAATGTTTGTGAAAGGCAGTTAGGGTGAGAAGCAACTACTGAAAAACTAGCAGACTTGCAACAGGTTGCCTGTGCATATAATACTGGGAAGGCAGTGGGAGCAATGAGTAGAGCCAAGACTGGCATCAGGAGAGATGAGTGTTCTATTCCAGGATTTGTTACCAACTTACTCATAGAAAATAAGGTTTGGAAGGGACCCCAGGAGGTCCAACCCCATGCTCAAAGCAGGGCCATCTCCAACTAGATCATTCCAGCCAGGGCTTTGTTGAGCCAGGTCATAAAAACTTCCAAGGATAGAGATTCCACCAGCTCTCTAGGTAACCCATACCAGTGCTTCAGCACCCTCAATTTGCTGCATTATTTCAGTTTTCTCCCCTCTTACACAGGGGCAGGGAGGGGAATACTTCTTTTGTAAATTACTTTGAAACATAGATTAAAGATGCTTAATATAAATATTAAGTATTTGAGTCGCATCTGCTTCTCTCTCCCTTGGTACCGAGGAGAGAAGAACACAACTATGAAAATGAACTATATTTCATTCTGGCTTGCACAGAAGTTGGAATTAAATTCCAGATACTCGATTTTAATAAGTAATGAAATGCTTGCCAAAAGACAGTTTGTCTTATTTCAAGTTGAATTAGAAGGGCTATCAGCATCAATTATCTCTCTCCAGGTAAATCAAATAAAAGAGCTGCAATTATCCTAGCAAACGTACACCTTTTTGACTAAAGGAAGAACACCTAGATAATGTAGGTAGATATATACTTGTTAAAAGCACTACTGGTGATAGAATGTTAACTTCCAGCCAGTGAGGGGCTACACCGAGACAGAGCATCTAGATGCTGTGTCCACGATGCAGCCACTTCTCCCAGCTGCAGTGCGGAAGTGGCAGTAACATGGACATAACTCAAAGATGCCTGGTCCCAGTGCAGCTCCTACCAGCTAGAAACTGTGAATATGCACCAGCTCATGAGTGGGGGGCTGGAAGAAGTCATGGCAATATAGGCACAGCTCCTAGCTGCTTGGTCCCAGTGTGGACCCAGGTCACTGATACGCTGTGGAAACCACCAAGCCTGTCAGACCAGAGCTGGGTTTTCCCAGCCTACACCTTGAAAAGGTTGCCAGCTGCTGGACTAGATGACCTCCTAAGGTCCTTTCCAGCTCTACATTTCTATGATTCAGGGATAAGTATCTTTATTCTTTAAACACCCCAAAAATCCTCA